AAACAAAACAGGATATTTCAGTGGAGAATCACATTTTCTGCATCATGAAGAATAATTGTCTGAAATGTTTTATCTGGGCTATTAATATCCTCTGCTCAGACATTAATATTTAAAAGCTACAGTTGCTAAATAAACTGTTGCTCTGAGAATGCCAAAAAATACTCTGATTTATCATAACAATATTGAAATTAAGAATATATTTTGCTTGTAAAGCACATTATTTTCTGATACACTCAAAGAGCTTTATCAAACTTTTAGAATATATATAGAATGTATATATATTTTTGTTGCTCTAACATGGTTAAATAAGGGTATTCCTTGGTCAGTTTATGTCTCTCCTGTATTAACAAATTAATACAACAATACTCAGCTAGATTTTATAACATCTTATGAACAGTCAACATCTGCAATAAAAAGTCCAAAGGAAGCAATAACCTTTTAGAAGAAATGTCTGATATCTTACAGGGATTTAGAAGCATTTTAAGGTAATATTTTATGGTAAAATTTAAACTTTGATACAATACTGGAATAATCAGCAAATGCTCTCTACACATGATTCAAACTTAACTTTTAATAAAAAAAAAATAAATGTAATTAATAATAAATTAAATTTCGTAAATAAATACATAAAAGACATAAAGCAGCCACCAGAATGGCTTCTTACTTAATTATGAGCATTAATAAGCTTTACTTTTTATTATAATGACATATTAAATTATTTCCTTGACCAAAATATAACAAAAATTTACCTAAATTATAAACAATTGTGTTAGTGCCTCTCTGGTCTCTGATGTTGTATAATTAATAATTAAGGGACAAAAAACCCATCAGATAGATTTTAAAATATAGAATCTAAAAGGTCTGCTTTAGTAATATCTAAAATGTATAAACACTGAATCAAAATTCAGTCACTACTACTGCACATATCGTGCATCAAAGCAATTAAAATGATTGGATTTTTTTTATTCTGAAGACTTGTGAACAAAAAAATAAAACAAAACAGGATATTTCAGTGGAGAATCACATTTTCTGCATCATGAAGAATAATTGTCTGAAATGTTTTATCTGGGCTATTTATATCCTCTGCTCAGACATTAATATTTAAAAGCTATAGTTGCTAAATAAACTGTAGCTCTGAGAATGCCAAAAAATACTCTGATTTATCATAACAATATTGAAATTAAGAATATATTTTGCTTGTAAAGCACTTTATTTTTTGATACACTCAAAGAGCTTTATCAAACTTTTAGAATATATATAGAATGTATATATATTTTTGTTGCTCTAACATGGTTAAATAAGGGAATTCCTTGGTCAGTTTATGTCTCTCCTGTATTAACAAATTAATACAACAATACTCAGCTAGATTTTATAACATCTAATGAACAGTCAACATCAGAAATAAAAAGTCCAAAGCAATAACCTTTTAGAATAAATGTCTGATATCTTACAGGGATTTAAAAGCATTTTAAGGTAATAATTTATGGTGAAATTTTAACTTTCATACAATACTGGAATAATCAACATTAATCTGCACATGATTAAAACTTAATTTTAATAAATAAATACATTCAATTAATATATATTAAATTTCTAAAATAAATACATAAAAACACATAAAGCAGTCACTGGAATGGCTTCTTACTTAAATATGAGCATTAATGATTTCTAAATTATTCTGATGTAATTCAGTCAGATTTAAATATAACATGTAAATAGAAAATCTAAATCTAAATCGTTTATCCTCTATTATCTGTCATTATGTATGTCCTGTATTATAACCCCAGTAATACATATATATATATATATATATAATCCATATCCTAACTTTCCTGTATAATCTGTATATAGTTTTCATATTTATATATTGTATAGCCTTACAATTGCTTTCTGTTTATATATACTATTTTTAGTCAATACATACATACATTTCTGTGCAAATGTAAACAAATATTTATATCCAGTATGGCTCCTCTGGATAGCTGCAAACTACATTTTGTTGCTTTTTACTTATGACAGTGTACAATAAAGTTGAATTCTCTTCTGTTCTGTTCTATTTTATTCTTTTCTAAAAGGAAACCAGAAATAAGTAGAAATCCGTGGCAAAGCCTGTATATTATATTCTGCTCTGTTTTTTTTGTTTTTTTTATATTTGAACATATATAAATCAAACACTAATGTTAGCATACTACTGCCGGATGTGTGTAATCTAATATAAAAACATTTGTAGTGATCATAATTCGCTGCAGCTTGAAAACATGGCGGCTAGAAACCAAATTTATCCAAGGATGTTACTAGTCTCTCCACCAAAGGCTTTGTTGAAACCCACTGTACTTTTTTGTCACTTTCATTTGATTTCAAGTTTTTATCTCATCAATTGACATTTGTGCCAACACAGACTTAACATGTTACCTTAATTGCAGTGGTTCCAATGGAGAACACCAGGGCGAGGAGGAAGAGAAGGATAAAGGTGATAGCTGTGTTAGTCATGTCATCTTCCTCTACTTCAATGATTCCGCTGTAGGTGTTTACTTCAGTCACGACGTCTGGTTTTGGTGCACAGTTAGAAATGACAAGTAAGTGCATTGTGCTGCTATGTTGTGAGGTCCATACTTGTTGTTTTAGAGTTTTTCAGTAACATATAAAGTTGCAAATATCATAAAATTATATGAAATATATAAACTGTTGCTGTTCCTTCAAAGCTTTAGTAAAATAGTGTGGCTTAAAGTATTTAACTAGTATTACAGAAATTAAATGGGTATCATTATGATACTGACTTGCTTGTGAAAAACCCTATCATCAGAGTTTATGAGTCATCTAACTTTCTTGGGGTGCAAGACCCAGTAGATGAAACACAGGCACAAGAGGACATATGACAGAAACGCAGACAGTTCTAGCCATGTAAATAAATGTTGCTGAGGTAATAGCAGTCTAGTATGTAGTTAAAAGCCTTCGTAAATATTAGAGCACAACTAATTAAAATGTGAATATGAATAACTCCTTATTTAGGTTGCATAAAGACAAGACTTAACCTAAAACCCAATATAAACATTCAGTTTCAAATACGAGTCAAGTACACACAAAGTACGAGCGACAAACATCAACACAGTTGGCGGACATTTTTTTTTATTTTGATTTTTTAATTTGCACTAAAAACACACAAACTGAGTTCAAAAATCACAAGCAACAACAACAACAAAAAAAAAAAAAACGAAGCAGAAGACGCACAGACACTAGTCAACATCTACTAGGCCTTGCACTTTTCAGGGACGTTCATGCTGAGGTTGACCACGTTGGTGTTTTTAAAGGTTCTGTATCCAATAGATCTGACAATAGATCTGGCTGGCTTAGCAAGTGACTCATGTTGAACAGCACAGCTATACACCACATCAGTCTGCTCCCATTCCTCTGTTGTGAGGACCAACTGGCTGTAAACAGAGAAGGATCCGTCGACTTCCACAGGTTCTGTGGTATTGAATGAATATATTGTGTTTGCCTCATCATCAACAAGCCAAGCCACATAAACCTCCTGAGGATAGAAGCCTTTCACATAGCAAGTCAGGATCACTGTTTTTTCTCTAGGTTGTTCTACTGGGGGCAACATAAACACTGATGGACGCTTCATTTCCTTTCCTGCAAGCATGAGAAAAGAATTAGGATCTGGATGACAAATTAAATTAGCACATAAAATAAGTGAAACACTTATGTTCCTGAAAAGATTGCTCACATAAAGTATTTACTGTGAGAAGCAGATATACTTTAAATATAGGTAAAGATTATGAGAAGTTTGCTTACCATTATTATTTCTGTTATACTCTTTCCTTAATGGTTCAATCCAATCCTTGTTCTGGATTTCACAGGTATAAGTTTCCCCCTTGCGCCATTCATCATAGGTGATTTCAGTCTCAGCTTCATATGTTCTTGATCCTAAAGTCCGGTTTGTGCCTACAAGTTTTGTGTTGTCGTTCGTTTTCTCCCAGAAAATGGTCTCAAATCTGCCCCTTTTAAATTTGGCTTGACATATTAATTTTCCTTGTCCTTTCTCAAACATGTCTTGCAATGTTGGGGGTATGATGGTTACATCCACATCTGCTTCAAGACAACCCTCAGTCGCTAAGAGATAAAAAAAAAGAAAAAAAAAAAGATGATAATTATTGAACAAATGCATAAAACAGGAAAAATAAATAAGTCCAATAAAAAACAGCATTGTACTTACCACCTGTACATTCCTTGTGGGACACAGTTGCATTTCTGTAGACTGGAGTGTTATTTTCACCTTTTCCCTTAAAAATACATGTTATCTTTGTGTCTTGAAGCACTTCAGTGGTTTTCAGTGTGAGCAGACTTCCAACACTGTACAGAATAGTTCCGTTTGTGTCATTTCTTCCCTGAGCCGATGTGTTGACCTCATCTATCCTCTCGCTGATGTCTTTATCATCTTTCTTCCATGTGATCTCATACTTATTTGGTGTAAAATCTTTGGCAAAGCAGGAGAAGTAAGCCTCCTCTTTGTCCTCATCAACGGAGGAACACACTTTAAGAGTCGGAGCCTGAAAAACCTCCTCTGAAAGACAAACAAATACACATATATGTATGCAGAAGCAAGGAAAAAAAATCTATATATATGCAGAAGCCCCGAGAAAGTGCTGCTTGGTTCATATAATCAGTTCTTTTAACAAAGTCCTACGACAACATGCATCATATTTACGCAGCTATAAGTATGTCATCTACCAGGGGCATAAGTGTTTTTAAAATTGGCCTTAATGCACTCCAAAGAGACACTCACTTCTGCATATACATTGACTGGCAAGCACAGACTAATATTGATATCAGTGAGGGTGTTAATCAACAGACAGAAAAAAAGACACAGACAGAAGTCTTCAAACATGTAGGACTGTTTAGGAACAAAAAAGCAGAAGGTGCATATGTAGACTATTATAGAACAAGAAAAGGTGTTAGTGATGAAAAAAAACAGTCAGATACTGAAAATACTGTTGGCTTTACCTTATTGTTCCATCTAGGTTATATATTATATATTACTATATATCAATAAAGACATTTAAAAGCAGTTCCCCCATTTAAGCATTTCTAAGATCAAATTTTCATCTATCTAAACTTAAAAGAAATTTTGTCACTTAGTTTCCTCAACATAACATTTAGATAAATCTTCTCCAGATATGTGTAATGATAGGATATTAATATATAGCTAAATTAATCCAGATATTTAATACTTTAATGACTACAAACAGAATAAAATCAAAACTTAAGATTGAAAACTGATTATAGCTGTTGAATATCCATAACCAGTGAGATTACTAAAGTTTTACAGTTTGTTAGAAAATGAAACTTTTTCTAGTAAAAGAAAAAAAATTCAATCTATGTGAAATATAGCTTAAAATAATACCAAAGGTATTTAAAACAATATTATAAATGATTTTGGTTTATAAAATTCTTACTTGGTTTGACCATTGAAGCATGTTGTTGTCCTGCAGCGTGATTTGCGACACATTTGAAGGAATTATTTGCTTCCCAGTCCTGTCTTCTTACTTGGACCTGACTAATTCCGACGTATTCACTGCCCTTCTGTATTGAAGGATACTGGATGAAGTTGTCCAAATTAGTATTGCCTTGTTGCCAGGAAAAAGTAATGGAAGGGGGGTTGAAACCAGTGGCAAGGCAGCCGAGGGTGACCATGTCGCTGCCCCCGGAGCCACAAGGAATCAGCGGGAACACAGTTGGAGCATGCTGAGTGGCTGAAAAAGAAAAAGCAAAAGCTTATTATAAGCATCAATATTTAAAATAAACAAAACTTAGGACACAATGATCTTCAACTTGATAAATACAGGACAAGCAAAAGGTTTGATCACTTATAAGTTGTTTTACCGTGTTTTCATTTTGAATACCTTTTTACTTTAAATTCCCATATATATATATATATATATATATATATATATATATATATATGCTCAATTATATAAAGGTAATTCCTTTTTAACAAAATATGTTAGTGCATACACAACCATCAAATTTGCTTAAGACATAGAAAAAAAATTTAAATTTTAGACATCATCAATTTTAAAACCCTCTCAGTCTTACCTGAAGAAGCTGTAACCAAAATACCTTTTGCAAAAGCAATATTGAGTTATCAACGTAACTGTTTCAAATTTCATACAATACATTTTTCTTATTGATATAAAACACCAAAACATGCTAAGAAATTATGTTAAGTTGAACAAAAGGAAAAACAAAAACTTTTTTTCAGATTTTGAAAGGTCAATCTCATCCTTATTCACAAATGTAAAAATGTGTAATTTCACAGAAATTTAACAAGCAAATATCTATATATTTTTTACCCGTTTTACAAAGACTGATTAATGTTCCAAAACTTTTGCAAAGAATTAAATAAGATTTAATTTATAAGGGTCCATAAACAAAACACAAACCTTTAAGAAATATTCAACACACCAAAAAAATCTGATTAACTCTTTTATATTACAGGGCTAATTTACTATGATGTTGACAAAATCCTTTAATACTAAATCACTATTTGGGGTCAATATTATACATATTAATGGTTTTATTTTAGAGTATTTAACCGGTACTGTAAATACCCTCCAAAATAAATGACAACTCACTTTAAGTCACCACTCAATAATTTCTATAATATAAATATATTATTAGAAAATTTAACCAAATGAAGAAATTACACCTCTTACGAACGATTTTTACATAAGAACCTTTTTTTATAAAGACATTTTCTATTGAGTTTTTTTCTAAACTAATTAAGAGCCTACAACATATTTAAATTAAAAATGTCCATCAAGTGACAAAATACAAAGTTAGGTTCTAAAACATTCTTTTGATAATCATCAAAAAGCATTTTCATACCTGAAGTGACGGTGACTGTTGTCCCTTTTCCCCAATAGTCAAACGCTTCATAGTAACACTGTGACTAATCGGACTGACTTCTTAACATTAAAAGTCGAATTTACGGATTGTGAACTCAAGCTTGTAACACCATAGCGTTTTTACTTTTACATTAAATCAATTTAAAAAATTTAAATTAGAGTAAATGTTATCAGGTATACCAATATCAAATTTAAGGGCATCGGTATATTACAATAAATATCTTTCCAAAGTTCACTTTTAAACATCACAAACGAATTACATAATTTAAGCAAGAAAAAAAAGAAAATGAATTTGAATTCATTTAGATATTTAATCCTTTAGAATTCTGTCCAACTTAATTTACTATTTAGATACAATTTAATTTCATACCTGAGGTTACGGTGACTGTTGTTCCTTTGCCCCAGTAGTCAAAGGCAGCGTTGCACAGTAATGAATCTCTTTAACTCTTGTACATAAAAAGTTCCAAATAATAGTCTAGAATTTCCAATTGTTTAAAACCTAAATATTTGCATTATTTTTTGTAATCCTGTTTTTAGAATGCTATAAAGCAACGAGTGAATTAACATTACTGATTTCAGAAAAGTTCATTTTGATAATATTGTTGAATATTACAAAAATAACAGTTATTTACGATCTTTAAATAAAACCCAACTGAGCCATTCGAAAATTTTTCTTGAAATCATTTTTAAATCATTTTCCCATTCCAATATTTAAGAAGCGCTTGTTTCTACCTATTGAATTAAGTCACAAGTCTTTATATTAACCAGCCCTAATGTCACAGTTGAGGGACAAAATATGACAAAAACTATTTTAAATGAAAATCTACTTTGCCGATTAGAAACAGTTGAATTTCCTACCTGAAGTGACGGTGACTGTGGTTCCTTTTCCCCAATAGTCAAAAGCTTCATAGTAACACTGTGACTAATCAGACTGACTTCTTAACATTAAAAGTCGAATTTACCGATTGTGAACTCAAGCTTGTAACACCATAGCGTTTTTACTGTTACATTAAATCAATTTAAACAATTTAAAATAGAGTAAATGTTATCAGATATACCAATATCCAATTTAAGGACATCGGTATATTAAAACAAATATCTTTTCAAAGTTCCCTTTTAGACATCACAAACAAATTACATAATTTAAGCATGAAAAAAAAAGAAAATCTATCTGAATTAATTTAGAAATATAATCCTGTAGAACTCTGTCCAACTTAATTTACTATTTAGATACAATTTAATTTCATACCTGAGGTTACGGTGACTGTCGTTCCTTTTCCCCAATAGTCAAAAGCATCGTAGCACAGTAATGAATCTCTTTAACTCTTGTACATAAAAAGCTCCAAATAATAGTCTAGAATTTCCAATTGTTTAAAACCTAAATTTTTTTTTTTTTTTTTTTTTTTTGTAATCCTGTTTTTAGAATGCTAAAAGGCAATGATTGAATTAACATTACTGGTTTTAGCAAAGTTCATTTTGATGATATTGTTGAATATTACCAAAATAACTTTTCATTACGATTTTTAACAAAAACCCAATTGAGCCATTCGAAAATTTTTTCTGGAAATCACTCTGAAATCATTTTCCCATTCCAATATTTAAGAAGCGCTTGTTTCAGCCTATTGAACTAAGTCACAAGTCTTTACATTAACCAGGCCTAATGTCACAGTTGAGGGACAAAATATGACAAAAATCGATTTTAAATGAAAATCTACTTTGCCGATTAGAAACAGTTTAATTTCCTACCTGAAGTGACAGTGACTGTGGTTCCTTTTCCCCAGTAGTCAAAAGCACCGTAGCACAGTGATCAACCTACTTAAGGCTTAGTATGAAAAGCCTAACAGTCTAATGGTGACCAAAAAATTATTTGACATGTAATCACCTTCAACTTTTTTTTATAAACCAATTAAAAGGTTATTATCTCTAATTACCAACTAAGTCAATATCGCATGTGAAGTATTACTTTTACAGTAAAATGAATTGAGTCCAGACAACTGAGTATTTAGATTTGTAGGTTAAAATGTAAAACTTAACAAAATACAGTAGCATATTTTTAGAGTGACTATTCTTACCTGATGTTACTGTTACAGTCGTTCCTTTCCCCCAGTAGTCAAAAGCCCAGTTGTCACAGTAATACAGTTCACTCAAAGTTGTAACAAAAACCTACCACATTAATACCTACTATGTTAAAGCTGTTTGGTATAAATCTACCCACTTAATGATAATTCACAGGAATTTAACAACCAGAAGATTTTAGTTTTTGTCCACTTTGTCCCTCAACAGTAAAAATACTTCATAGTCTTTCTATATCCAAATTCTCATCGTTGAATTCAACTGAAAATTAACTATTATTTTCAATTTGATTTAAATATCGAAATTAGAAATAAAATATTTTCCTACCTGAGGTGACAGTGACAGTAGTTCCTTGTCCCCAGTAGTCAAAAGCATAGTAGTCACAGTAAAAGAAGACTTAATCTATCCCATACTAAAACTTGTCCAAGGATTTACCTCCACAGACAGGCTTTTTCAATCTTTCTAAAATTCTAATAAAACCTCAGAAACTTTTAAGCGCATGATTATTGCCACCGAAGCTTTAAATAAATCCATAATTTAATAAAGGTCTGGCAGAAACAATTAAAACCTGGCAGGAACAATTGAAACTATCAACTTTCTTACCTCTATTTCAACAAATATTTGCTGAAAATCGTCTGAAAGTTAAAATTGAAAATTAGATTGACCACATAGGATTGACTTACCTGATGTTACTGTAACTGTAGTTCCTTTTCCCCAATAGTCAAAAGCATTGTCACAGTATAATAACTTGATACATTCAACATACAAAAACCACCAAAATGTCGAAATGTACAGTTAAATGTGTCTAAAACATGGTTAACTAAATACCTTAATGATTACAACTTTGGTGGTTTCGCTATTATGATTTGTCTAATTTTTCAGGATTTTAAATGATGTCTGATTTAAGTTCAGTTAAAGTAGAAAAAAAGACATCTATGTTTTCAGGCTAAATAAAAGAAATTCAGAGCATAATTATTTCAATATAGGTATGTCGATGATTAATTTTGTATTTTACCTGATGTGACAGTGACAGTGGTTCCTTGTCCCCAGTAGTCAAAGTAGTTGCCACGGTGACAAATCACAATACCACTTTAGTGCAAAAATATCCTGTTATCTAAAACTTATATGAAAAGATGTTTTTTCACCTGTATCTACCTGTTTTCCACAGTTTTTGCATTTGATAGAGATAATTCACTATTCATAAGGAATAAAGTAATTAACCATGCAGAAAGGAAAATAAATATTAAATTATGTCACTTTAAAACATATAAAGTTAAAACTTACCAGAAGTCACTGTGACTTGTGTTCCTTGCCCCCAGTAGTCAAAGTAGCCATAGCTATCACAGTGGTAAACTTTAGTCTGTTTCTAATACAAATAATCAGTTTGTATGAAAAAAGAACAGAATAAGAATTTCATTTTGTACTATTTCCATCTCCCTAGAGATATTTATTTCCTGTGGTCTGGGTCATATAAAAGGATGCCAGTTTTTTTTCAACTGCTGTTGCATTTACTACCTCTGTGCCTGAGCTTATTGCCAGCCAAAACTTGGTCAGACGTTTCTCACAGCAAAAAAAATTATTCAAGCGATTTAATTTAATATTAAAAAATCATATTTTGTTTCAAAGTGAATTATTCATTTGAAGAGCAGAGAAATAAAGTCATAGAAAAATATTAGACTTGTCATATTCCCCTTAATTTCTTTTTTTAAAGATACACTAACTGAGAAACACCTTAAATAAATGAAGGGCGCTTTTCTGCAAATAGAGTGCTGTTGAGAGAAAAAAATAATTTACTCTACAATTATCTTAATCTTAATCCATCTCTTTTTGGCTGAAATACAGTCTCACATTGTATCCTTCATCCTACCAAACTTTACACTTTGCACAATGCACTTCTACTGAGAATCCCCAATCCCAGACCCATCAATCATATTGCCGGACGGAGTCATGTAATTTGTCACTTGGGAGAATGGTTCTCCACTTAGACTTGATTGTTGTGGTGGCAAGCTTTATATGATGACACTTTGGATAGCACTTGCGGATCTTGGCCTTTGAATCAACTGATTGGCCATAAAAAAACTATTCCATTAAACCATCTATAAGCTGTTTGATCTTATTTGATATGACATAATATTTGTTCCACCTACCTGAGTGTATCCTATGTACAGCATTTAAACTTACAATCCGTTGCTCATAATCTATCTGCCGTGCTCTCAACTCTGATATCTCTGCTCTGCCACCTGTGCTCTTGCTTCAGTCCTTTTCTTTACATGCTCAACAATGTTTGTGTGTAAGTTTGACTTCATCTTGACTTATCTGGTGCGACAGTGGCATCGGGTGTAGGAGTTTGCCCCAAAATTAAAGGGTTGACAGTTCAAGCTCTGGCTTTCAGTGTTGTTGTGTCTTTGGGCAAGACAAACTTCCCCTGCATTGTCTACTGATGGTGGTCAGAGTGGCGCCAGTGTATGGCAGCCTAGCTTTTGTCAGTGAGCCCCACCCAGCTGTGGCTACAATGTAGCTTGCCACCATCAGTGTGTGCGTAAATAGGTGAATGACTAAATGTAGTGTTAAGCGCTTTGGTCAAGTCTCCTAACATGAAAAAGCGCTATAAGTACAGGCCATTTATCTCTGCAAGTTATCATTGTTTAATTGTATGTAAATGAATCACGTCATTTTTCACAAATCCCGCTGCTTGGTTTTCTAATCTCTGCCACTGTAGGAGAAGTATTTTGATTTAAAGGCAGAATTTCCTGGAATTAAGCTGAGTGCATAGAGACAAAGTCAAGCATGCAGAGAATAGTTGTTCAGTGAGTAAAGAAAAAGAGTGAAGCACAAAGACAGCTGATGAAGGAGAGTTTGTCAGAGTTGAGCTGATTGTGACAGAAAGGTTTCGAATGAGGTGGTGTGATTTTAAATGCTGCACTGCAGAATCAATATCAGTATCAAGTCAGTAGCACAGAAAATGCAGCATAGTCTGGAGTACTTAGGAGCAATTTGACTTGTTTTATATCCTATTTCCAGTACAACGCTAAAAGTCACTTTCCTCAGAGCATACCATTCTGTCACAAATATTTGTAGAAACAGTCTGTATGCCGAGATCCCAACCCCTGGGATCTGATTTCAACCTTTTAAAATTCTTATATGCTTACTTTTTTCAATTAAGCCATGAAGAGAACTACAGATTTTTATATTTGTCTGACACAAGAGAAAAGGTTTTGCACATTTTTCTCTTTGTCCAACAGTGTTCTTTGGAAGGGCAGGGTGGGTGACTGCCCATACATACACTGTACAACTGGGGATTAATCAAGTTGAGATAAATTATGGGAATGGGGCTGTTGTCAGGATCTTTGCGCTGATACCTGGTCTGATTACTTATTTCATTCACCTGCTTATATCCTCCCAGTTCTCATCACCGTTCATCTGATCCACCTGCTTCAGTCTCTATTTAACCAGCCTTCAGACCAGTCATCAGTGCCAGATTATTTCGAGCCCCTGGTGAGAAGTTTTCACGCATTCCTGTGTTTCTGATTGCCTTTTCTGACCTGTCTGCCTCTCGTCCTCTGAGTCTGCCTGTCCCCGATCTGATCTATTTCTGACCTGTCTTCGGACTCCTGCTGGATCTCTGCATGTCTATGTACCGAACCAGGAACTACCAATCACGTCACAGGCACTGGCTTTTGCTTGGCCCTTTGGATTATCATGCCGACCTTCCTCAGTTTGGTTCTAATCTCCTGCCTGTCCTCCAACAAAGATACATCAGCATCTAGGACTCTGGGCAGCGCCCGCACTTGTGTTGGCAGCCGACCGGCTGAAGCAACCTCACCTTCTGGGCTCGGACTGAACTATAAGACGCAATTGCACACTGCTCCCGCATTCTCAGTGCAAAGGAAATTCAACATAATCTCTAAATCATTTAGACCAATACCATTTTTTTAGTATAGTTTTGAATCCGCATATCATCATCTTTTAACTGAAAACCAACAAGAAAATACGAGAAACATTTTTTGCCTCCAAATTTGGTTACAAAATATAAAAAAATGGACAACAGTAAATTTTGCTTGCCATAGATTTGCTTGCCATAGATCTACTAAATTAAATATATATATCAAAATAAATAGTGATTAAAATCCTATTATTTTTATTTCACTTTAAACTCCTATAGACTCCCATCTTTATCTCATCTCATGATGAATGACATCCTGCTGGATGTGCCAGCTGGCTTTACTGAATATCAGCTGTTCTGATGTTTTTTGTTCCTTTTTGCTAAATTCAAGTACATGATGATGTAAAATGTAAACGGGGTCAATTTGCACATTCTCAGATATGGTGGCTGCAGCAATTACTGTAGATGTGAGGAGCTGAAGCAGATCTCACAGCTTGTGGATATCTGTGCTACATTTCAAGCCTCCAGTGCTAATTGTGAAAGAAGATTTTGTTTAATAAATCAAATCAAACCAGAAATTAGAAATTGTCTTGAAATTGCATATTTCTTCATATTCTGTTAACCTTTATTTATTTTTTATGGATATCAATCATTAAGTGGTTATGCTGTTATATAATTTATGTAAGCAGAAACTCTAAACAACAGTGTATTTAAATATATTACTGACAAAGAGTTACTGTTATAAAACGGGGCAAATGGATCCAGAATTCAGGCGAGAAAAACAGTGGGAAGTTTCAAAATGTTTAATGACAAAGGACAAAACTGAAACAGAACAGAAAAAAGGCTGCTGTGGATCTGCAGACATGCAGCGGCTGTGGGGGGAGGCGGGGTAACACCCATCACTGGCACTCTGGTTGTGGGAGAAACACAGGTAACTGACCACGATAATCTGACCAAAGATGATTATCCGTGTGGGTCACTTACCTGGTTTAACAGTTCAGTTCATCCTCTTGGGTGAGGCAGGATCCAGTGGATGGACTGCCAACTAGATGCAGCTCTGAGCTGTCAGTGTGTCCCAGATGCTGCAACCCCAGAGAGCAGGCAGGAGACTGATCCAGTTCAGGGAAACTGCTCAGAACAGGATAGTTCTGAGATCTAGGAATCCCTAGCCCTACCAGGGGTTCCGATCCGAACAAGAACTGACAGATCCAGGGTTCCAGGAATCCACGGAGTGCCCATGCAGGTTCAGAGTTTGATGAGCCCAGCAACGAGATCCGACTGACCCACTCAGATGGAGACAGGCAGGCCCAGTGGTTGAGAGGAACAGACCAGGAGAAACTGCAGAACTTTAAACTGGCACCATGCAGCAGTCAGGATCACAGGACTTAAGACTGACTCTGCCGCACGCCAAGCCAACCATGACCAGAATGGGCTCAGTGGAGAGGAGTCAGGAAGCGATTGGGAGACAGGAGACAAACACTAAAACCCTTTCGACACACAGGCCCCCCAAGAGCCATGACTTGAACCACAGACACGACTCACGAAACATAAAACACATCGGACAAACATGAATAACGATCTGGCCCTGATAGCTTAGTGGAACGGTATATAAAGCAGAAGGAGCAGATTGATAAGATGACTGATAGAGAGCAGGGAGGGTACGGCAGGTAAATGAAGTGAGTAATTAGATCAGCTACTGTGATGCTATCATGACAGTTACAGGAATTAAACTGTATCACAAGCTTCAGCACAATTACTTTGTGCAAAATGTGAATTTTTTAATGCGAACAAAAAGCTCTCTCTGGAAGGTATAACATCTAACTTCATTAAGAGCAGGACCTCCTGGCGAAAACACGACTCTTACATATAGCATACTACATATCTCATGAATTTTTTTTCTCTTTTTTAATTTGGCGAAATCCCAAATTAAAAGTAAAATAATGGAAATTGCTGCTGCAATGCTTTATTATTTCAATATGCAATGTTACTTACTTTGAACCCGGGTTTATAACAACTCTGATTTTGGTGTGTAGCCTCAGTCTGCACATGTGACACTGCTTACAGTTAGTGTGCCTCCTGTTTCTCTGGCCTGGATCCCAGATTACCCACTTGTCTAGCCCTTCTTGAAATCTCTGCCCTGTGTATTGTTTCCCTCCTCACTACAATGTTCCCCAGCTAGCCTCCAGC